TTTGGGGGGGGGGTTCTTTTTAAAAATATGTCTGACAGGTTGTTTACTTAAATTTATTTTCTACCTACGTCTTTGAGTTCTTTTAAAATATATTTTTGGCAAGGCAACTTTGACATGTTACCCTAAGGAAAAAGTAATCGCCCTAAATATCATCTAGGGAACATTCACAGTTACTGTTCTTATATTTCTCTCAGCTTATTTTGTTATTCTTTAGCCTCTCTGTCCTGGTTTCTTTGGGTTTTGTTTGTTTGTTTTTCAGGTAAGCCAACTTAACCACACTCCTAGAATACACTTGTTGCTCCAAATATCTTCTCACATGCTTTCGCAATGACCGGTGATATGTTTTTGAGAGCCTATTTAACTTATTCTGTAGCCTCTATATCCACGAGGGGGGGGGATCCTTTTTTGCTAGGCCGCTTGAGCACACGTTACTCCAATAGTACACATGTTGTTTCAAATATCATCCTTATGAAAAGTCATAATATGGGCCAACAGTCTTCACCCCAACAACAGCAACAATCATTCACTAATTTTATTTTCTTACTTCAATGATGCGCTACCCATTTCGCAAGCATCTTTCTTGTTGGTTTTTTATTTTCTAATTGATATCAATCACATCATCTGAATAATATTACAAAGTATGTAACAGTTACTGTACATACTAATATGCCTAAAAACTCCTGGTCTTCAAGAGTGTCGATCACGCATATTGCAAAGTAACTGAAACGTGAAATATTTACCCTTCTTGGAAATGCCAATTTTCTCAAAAGGTGCACAACTTTCTTTTTTTTTTTTTTTTTTACTATTCTCTTTGGCTAGAAAACTGTGGTTCGTTATTTTAAGACGTCACAGAGAATCTATATATTAGAATAATAACAATAGCTCTGCTATTACGTTCCACGACAGTTCAATTAAACGCGAACAAAACTAAACAACTGCGCCAAACACGACGCTGGGAAGCCCAAAAACATAGTTCGACGACAAACGTGTTATCTTCTCCAATGACACCAGAATCAATTTGTCCAGCCATTACATTTTATTGCACCACTTCTAAACCTTTTCTCCCGTGTTTCATTAATTCATTCGTAGCCTGTGTAAAAGAGACAGCCATTTATCACAATAAAAGAGCAGAGGAGACTGGTGCTGACCAAAATGTTGTGTGGGAGGGGGGATGGGGGGCAAAAGTGTGGAGGTGGGGAGGGGAGGGGGGGGCAATAAAAAAATCAACAAAGTTTCAGTCAATTTGAAAAGTAAAATATTAAAAACTCACTTCTAGCTGCCTACCTTGAAAATGACCTCTCTATTTTGGCCCTTCTCCTACTTTCTTCTAAAGATTGAAATTCTGTTCTACCACTGCAACAAATACATTTGGTGTAGGTGAGATGACTAGTCTAGCATACAGTTCACAACACACAGGTGAGGGAGCCTGCCCCGTACTACACAGCCTTCTTCCACTCCAAGATAAATACATTATATTTCTCTTCTCTCTATCTCTCTCTCTGTTTCTCCCTCTCTTTCTCTCATCCCCCATCCTCCCCCTCTCTCATTCCCCATCCTCCCTCTCCCTCTCCCCCCCTCTCTTTCTCTTTC